GAAAAAATCTTTGGAAATGTGTGTCTTTAATCATTTAACTCCCCCCCCCCAAAAGATAATTTGACTACACCCACAGAATCATTGTAAGGGTTAGAAGTGATGCTAGAGATCAATGAAGATAGGGATTGGCTATTACAGGAGCCCCAACAGGAGATCATCTAGCAGTAAATTCTTCCAGTGAAGGAGAGTCTACCACCTGCTGAGGCTCTCTGTTCCATTGTTAAGCAGCTCTTGTAATTAGGAAATTATACTGATATCCAGTCTGCTTCCCTTTAATTTAAATCCATTTTTAAATCTTGTCTTCTGGAGCAACACCAAACAAATCTACCCCGCAGATATTGCTTAAAAGTCCTTGTTCCTCAGGCAAAAAAAGACTAATTCAAATGTGGACAAATGGCTGCAAATCAGGTATAGATCTAATCTATCTTTCAAATCTTGTACAATCATTATTTTGGCCATGTTTCATGCGTGAAGGGCCCACTCTTCTTGATGCTTCAATAAATTCCAAGAAGAAGGGTACACCAAGAAGACCTTATCCATCCCTGACAAGCAACTGTCAGTGTTATCTGGTCTTGATGAAGTAGGGGCTCTTCCGAGGGTTGTGGGTAGTAATTGTCCATAATCTTGCAAGTTTTGCCTTTTATTCAGATCTGTGCACTATATGAGCTCTGCCATTCAGTTTCTCCTACGCTCCTCATTTGTCTTTGAAACTAGACTGACCACAGGAATATCTGTCCTCAGTTTCAGCATAATTTAATGGAGAGAAGGGTTCCTACCTCATTTCTGTTTCTTAGTCCACAATCCGTGCCTTATGGGACAGGATGGTAACACTGTGTTGGCTATGCCTTGATTGTAGAGTCCTACACATGCCTATTGTCAGGCCCAGCCCAAGAACAACAGTGAGACAGTCCAGTCAAGTGTAGTTCCTTTATTTGCTTACACAGAAGACAGACAGCATCTTGCCAAACTAAATCTATATTACAGGAACTAGTGGATATACCCTGGGAGATTCTAGGAAGTGGCTCTCCTGAACCTCTTTCGCTTCCCACACTCCCCTTCAGGACTGTACTGTCTCTTCCCTTTGGTCCCCTTCTGGAATGCAACCCCTCCCTCCTTGATCTCCCACATCACTCTCCTCCTCGTAGATACATTTCATCACACCTGTATACATATGTGAATCATCTGTGAAAAGTTCTCAGATATGTGGAGAGGACTGTATGAGTGGATAATATGGCTGAATTAAACAATGTTCTCCCATGGTTCAACCAGGCGTGGTTTACTCAACTTGATTTGCTGAGTTGATAAGGGGCACCCATTATAAGGGGATGTATTAAAAATGTGTGATGCATGTTAAAAAGGGGTGGTTCTTCAAGCGTTCAGTTGCAGTTGCCATCTTGACTTTTTCTTACCCCCCTCCCCGACCCATGGACACCCCTGGATTACAGGCTAACCTGAACCATTAACTAAGGGAAGGGGCTGGATTCATACTCAATGCAACTAGGCAGTTTGGTTCAGTATGTAATCTGAACAGGCCTATGGGTTCTTCCCCACTTGCACCTAACCATGGCATAAACAGACCCCAGCAACAACTTTTTTCTTCTGCTGGACTTGTGACGTTTCATTAATCTTGTCCCCAACCCGTGGTGGTGACAGACTTAAATCATCCTTAGCTGTACTGATGTTAAAAGTAATGTTTTCTGCCTTATTCCAACACCATCCAAAGGCAGCCCCAAGGTGGATAAACTCTGTTAGGCTCTGTCACCCAGTATATTACCATGAAGAGAAGTCAGGGGACTGCAGTGATAGGGAACAATAGATGCAGAATAGGGATTGGCAATGGGCAATGGGACAGCCAGTGCCATGTCACTGGCACCTCTTTCTACTGACTCAAGGGTGAGTGGGTAGCACATCAACTCAGCAGTGAGGAAATGCCCTTAGGATATTGCCTTCTCTCCAGGGCTGGTGCAAAATCTGTGGAATTGAGGCAAATGGCACTTCACTGCTCACTCCAATTTATTCACAGAAGCTGCCTAGCTTTGAATCTTACAGTAAATGCTGGAAATGGAGCAGCCTCTTCTACCCCACTTGAAGTTGCAAGATGCTTGGGACTCAGTGAACTGTTCGCAGCCGCTCTGGCCACAGAAAACGGCACACGTCGCCTTTTTTGGTATAGCTCATGGCTGTTTCCTCAGCTTTCAGCATTACTGCCTGAGGTTGCTATCTCACTAATAGCAGGGCCGCTCCTATTCTTTCAGATGTTGAAAGATTTGCAGATAAGATGAGGGTGATGGTGATAAGGTATGGCAATGTCTCTGTGGGCTTCGTCATAATCATTCAATATAGTAAAAAAATGGCTGTTAAAACACCGAAGAGGGGGGAAAACCCTCCGCCATCTCTCCATTACTAGGAGGAGGAGTTGGGGAATGGACGAGAGATCCATGCCTTGAAATTCCCTTTGGACCTTATTGTGGCAGCGTTGTTGTTGTTGTAATCCTAATAAAGTGGACAATCCAGAATAAAATCTCTGCAGCAGGTTCACTCATTCCATTAAAATATACTGTGGTTTATTCAGTTTTGGTTTACTGAACCCAGCCATAACAATGTGTAAACTATGGTTTATTGCTTATCATGTTATATGAACCCAATTATAGCTTACTCAAAAAATCATGGTGAAACAAGCAATGGTTTAACATAATGCATAAACTTGGTTGCACCACTCTTTGAGATTTGCTGGCTGTTAGGAACTGCAAACCAGGTTATTGATGCATTGAACAGTTGTGCCTTCTGGTCAGGGAAAAAATTACGAAGACTTTTTTGAAAGATTGGAAACCTTATATGGACTTTTTGTTGACAGAAGACTGAATTGATGATTTATGGATTTGGAGATTAAAAAGAGTTAAAGGAGGGGAAAGAGTAAGATGGCAACTACTCAATAGAAAGAAGGGCAGAAGTCATAATTCTATATTTTCTCTCTCTTTTCTTTTCTTTCACTTTGTTTTCCAATCTTTTTCTTTTTAAAAATTTTTTATACTTTTATTGCATTTAAAAATTCTAATTTTATATATACACACACACTTCTGCCTTCTCATCAGTGTTCACATGTGAGAGGCAGAGAAGAAGGATGGGCCGTGAGTTCTCTCAACTGGAATCCCATTGTGCTATTCAGCAGAGTCAGAATGAGGAGGGCCATCGAATCCCAAAGAAAATAAACAATTGCTAAAGAAGCCAAATCCCCTGTAATTTTCATACTTCCAGAGTACCAATCAATGACTTTGTAAGATGTCAATGTAAACTGCGGTTTGCTTAACCATGGAATTTTGAGTAAGCCACAATTAGCTAGATTCACATAACATGCTAGCCCTATACCAAGGCCATTACACTATAGCTTGTTGCAATCTTTGTGTACCAGCCACAAGCTGGGGAGGAGGGAAAGAGAAAGAGAGAGGCATTATGTTCTCACAGCACTGTCCCTGACTCATTCCCAGCCCATAGTTGAGGCAGCCTAACTTTAGATTTTGTTGATCCAATATTAAAATGGTGTTTTCCATCTTCTCCTATTACAAGGCTTGCTTTATGCAAGATTTCTGGTGTTTCAGGAGCAACCATCGTGATGACACAGTTCGGTTGGGAGGTGATCAGCACCTATTGGCTGTACCATACATATCACCTCCTTTCTGTTTGCTGCCCATCCTGACCATTTTGGTTTGTGCTGTTGGACTGGCATGATACCCAGCTTCCATAGGTAGCTGCCCTCACAACGCCTGCCTGCAGAATGCTGAAGCACAAGTCAGATCTCACAGGCTTATTAACACATGTTCACAGTTCTTGCGAAATGATGCTAGACCACTTCCAAAACGTATGTCCAGTGCTCTTGCAGATAGCACTAGAGTGCTCTTTTTAAAAAAAAAAAAAAAAACTCTTTAAAAAACAGGAATGGAGCAGCAGCAACAGCAGCAGCAGCAAAATCAGTATGAAGATGGACAGTTAAGATCCACCGTGGTTCCAGTTGGGTACGGCAGTGGACATCAATTATTGTGATTTTGCTGCTAATCTGCATGGCAATCTGTCAAAAAAGGCCATCTGGGTAGTGGGTGAAGTGAGATGGAGCTCAACTGGCACTTTCCTTGTGCTCCCACCCCTGTACTGTGCCAACTTACCTACCAACCTTTTTGTTTTGGGACATGTGTCTACCACTGTCCCAGAATAGCACTAGACACATGTTCAGAATTAGCCAAAGTGACAGCACTGCAAGGCATTTATTTTATTTTCGGTATGCTTGTTAAACTGTCAATGTAGCTCTAACAGCTTCTGTGGGAGGAAGGGTGCCAAGTCTCTGATTCACAGGCTCCCATCCCCCAGCTCCAATCTACCACATTAAGGAAGGCAATTGGTGGATGTTTTTCCTAACTCTCAAGTGGCAGTGGGAAGCCTGGAAGGAAGGGGAAAAGCAGCTATTTATTACTGCCCTTAACTAGTCCTGCATTAAAACTGTAAGGACACCATCTTCTGACCCTTTTACTGAGGCATAACAGAAATCAGCTGTTTTCAAGACAGAGCAGATTATACTGGCCTACTTTTATTAGACTGGAAGAAAGCAGGTTAAAGTAGCTCCCTGGAAGAGGCCATTGTTTTAAAATGTCTCTTTTCATCGCAGTCCTTTGCCTCTCATGTCTTGGGTAGAATGTGTGTACCCACCTTGTTCAAAGTTCCTGCAGACCAGCTATTCAGAGGACAAATTCTTATTGCTAAGGAATCCACTTGGGTTATAGTAGCTTTGGGTTTCTAGCTACATTGAGGCTTCCACATTTTTAGATGCAAGGTTTTTGCAAAGATTTCTTTTTACACAATTGCATGCAAACAGCATCTCAGTATTCTTTATTCCTCTCTTTAATATTTATGATTTAGGGATATGATATTTTTTATTATTCCTCACTGAACACAATAAAGGTTTCAGAGAGATAGCATTTTAGAAAATAGTTTTATTCCCATGATAATGATGGGTTTGGATTATTGGAGCACTGAAGAACCAGTTGTATAATGAGGCAAAGACTTAATAAAATTTATATTCTATTGACAATAACCTTTCTCTTTTGCTCCCCGCTTAAATTAAACAACAAAGCAACCCAGAGGAGAATAAAACCAAGAGATGCAAATAGGTAGGGGATGAAGATGACCAGGCTTAATTATTTGAAAGTTCAACAGTGTATTCTTAAAAATATCTCCACCACCACCCCATTTTTTCCCCCAGAAATTCCTGTTACAAGTCTTTTGGTGAAATCATTCATTAGAAATTTGGCCAAGTAATTTTATCCTAAGGAACGCTAGAATAAATAATATAAAATACACTCTCTTAAAATAATCTTATAATTTGACATATTCTTGTCTAAATCTCATTTGTAATCGTTTTGTCTGTTGCAAAGAAACAAACTCAGCTTAAGAGTTAACAACTCATTGGTAGAGAGTTTATGAATCTGCAACTTTTTATCTCCACTGAAGCTCCAAGTAGCAGTAAAGAGAAATGCTAAATCCATCACAGAAGAAACTTGAACATGTAGGTAGACTAACAGATCTTCTATTGTCTTTCACACTGAGAACTTTGTAGGCATGGTAAGAAGCGAGAAACCGAAAGCTAATTTGGATCTACAGAACTCAAAACATTCTATTCCTATCTCCATTGTCATTAAATCCAATCAGAGATCAAGAAGTCCAGGACTGCTGAAGTTCCCAGAGCAAAAAATTTAAAGCAGTATTTGGAGCAGTGGTGTCTGATAGAAAGGATATCCATTAAAGTGCTGTGGATGCGCAAAGCTCTGGAAAAAGGGGCAGCAGCTTAAAATAAGGAATCAAAGATACCAGTAAACCAAAGAGAACTTCAGTTTCCAGGGTAGGGTGGGGGAAAATGACAAAACTGGACCAAACCAATAGTAAAGCTCTGGGGGGATTATCTGTTTTCCCTTCTTTTTTTTGACTGAGTCCCTACAGCAAAAAGGACCAGAAAGATATCAAGTCCTCGGGATCAGCCACCAATCATTGCAAGATATCACAAATTCAAAAATTGTGCCTCATTTCCCCAACCTGTATTTCTGGTTAATAGTTATTCCTATACCTTGCAGCAGTGTTCTTCCATTTCAATTCCTTGTACTTCCTTGGTGGATTAATAGGTAGGCTGGATTTATATGCCACAATGACCTCCCTTTTTCCTGCCAGTTGAATATGCCAAGATCTTACCAGCTTCATCAAAGAAAGAGTTAGGTTTAATGCCAGTCTTTCTCAACTTGGAGATTTCCAGCTGTGTTGAGCTATGACTCCCTGAATTCTTAAACTTTGGTACCACATGGAGGAAGGCTGCTCAGTTCCAAGGGTCTGGCCATTTTTCACTTTTCGTCCCTCCGATTATCACCAAGTTTCCAGTGTCTTCCTTTTCTGAATATTTTTACAATCACTATTCTAATGGAGCCTGTGGCATCTGATTTATAAACAAGGGCTGGGCAACCTTTGGAAATGATATGCAAATGCTTCAGTGCTCACAGGAGCATGAGCACAGCACTTCTCTGCTATACATTAAAGTAGCCCCCTTTTTCCAGGCTTCCATGCAAGTCTTAATGAATCTACTCATTAAAATTAACAGGACTCTTAAAGCAGTGGCACCTTTTTTTCTAAGCTTGCCCAGAAGCCTGAAATATCTATACAGGAGGGAAGGGAAACTCCTGAGGTCTCTGTGTTATTTAGAAATAACAAGTGTTGCTTACAGTTCCATGCAACAATAACAAATCTTAGTAAAGAACAATCCTTTTAAGTGTAAGTAAGTACAGAATCTAGCTGATCTCAAGAAAAGTTAAGCAGAGTTTAATAAAACTTCCTAGAAGGCAACAATAATAAACTACCTCCATACTGTTGCCAAGTAAACCACATGGATGTGTCCATGAAGTCACAGTCCTTACCTGCTAAAATCTTTTGAAAGGAAGATCCTGGGGTCTAGAGGCAGGAGGCAGATTTGGACCCAAGAATAACATCCTTAAAAAACTGGTCTGGGTAAGAGGGAGTCTACGAGGAGCACAAATGATAATGGTAGAAGCAGCTACAAATTTCCCACTGTGGACTGTAGCAAGATAATAGGTTGGTGATCATCCCTGGTCCTGTATATCCAGCAGGTCTCTGGGCCTGCACAGGAGGAATCAGTAGTGGCAGACTTAGGACTCCAGCCTGACCTGCCACAATTCCTCTTATTTTCATTTTCTGTCCTAGAGACCATGTGTTTGTTGCTTTTCTTGCAACTCATCTGGCACATTATCAGAAGAAGAGAAAGACAGGCTGGTTTCCCAAGTCCACCTAGGAAAAGAAATCCTCAGAAAGAAAGAAGCGACAGCAGGATGGGCCAACACTCAAGCTTTCCACTACGAGAGAAGGCACCTCCTGCAGCAAAGGCAAAGGAGACTGGCTGGCGTTGCCTCCCTGTGGGTTCAGGGGGGTGGGAGGGCAGCCCTGCCTTTTATCTGCCCAATGCCCCAGGCCAAACTATCACACATGCTGGAAAGAGGTTTCCAAAGTCAGTATACTAAGAGCAAGACAGCAAATGTCAGGGACGTCAAAGCCTTTCTCTCTGCCAGGCATGGCACACACCACACGTACATGCATGCACTCTGTATGATCAGAATCCATCCAGCACGCAAAATACATCCAGAAGGGCCCTGAGCAGAGGCACGTGGAGGGCTGAAGCATTTAAGGCAGCCTTCCCCAACATGACATCTTCCAGACGTGCTGGCTGGGAATTATGCAGGTTGTCATCCAACAGGCCTGGAGGTTGTCAGAATGGGGAAGGCTGATTTAAGGTGATTTGTGTTGTAATTCTTTTGTAGGCACTGGAAAAGGTCTGGCAATGAACAAATCCTGGGAGAAAAACTGAGAGTTGCCTTTTCTCCCTTCCCCCACAGTGGCTGGGCTGGCGCAGCACCATAAGATAGCAAAGGAAGAGATCTACGACAGCTTAAATTGAAAGAAGAAAGGAGGCCATCTTCCTCCAGAAGCTGCTTGGCTTTGGCTGGGGTCAGGCAAGAAGGACTTAAGAAGGGCCAGTCTGTGGTCGGCTGTCCACCCCAGCCATTCCCCAAGCATTTGGGGTAATCCTAGGCACCAGTGGAGACCACTCCTCTCCCTCTCCATGTCCTCAAGGGACTCTCTCCCCACCCTCCCAGTCCTGAAGTAGAAAGAAGAATTTAAGGTCGATGTGATTCTTCATGATCTTGTGGGAAGGCCCAGGCAGTGCTGCTGGCAGGGTGAGGATGCTCAGAGACGTTGTTGGCACAAATGGCAAAGGGGGAATGGAGGGAGTCCCCAGACAAGAGCAGGGAGGAGGGGCATTGACTCACAGGCCTGGCCAATGATGGCGTGGCTTTGGGGGTACAAACACTACAGCCATCAAGCTCCACCTGTGGGGCTGAAGACCCATCTTTTAGGGACAGCCTCTGCCCTCAGTGGCCATCAGCTGCCACCCCCAAAGGTCTGAGCAGGAAGAAGCTTCTCCCTAGGTGGATAAAAACCTGCCCTTGGGGCCTTAACGGATATAACCATCACGCCCCCAGTCCTCCACACTGTTGTGGTTATGACCTAAAGCTTCCTCCTCCTCCTCCTCCTCTTCCTCCTCCTCTTCCTCCTCCTGGCAGTAGCGTTCCTGCCCTTTGCCCCGCCCGCGCAGAGGCCGGTTGTGGTTTTGTCGGTCAGGCTCCTCGGCCTCCTGGGAGCCTTGGCACTGGGGGGGGCGGTGGCTGCGGCCCTGGAAGTGGCGACGACGCTCCAGTTCTTCAGCCTCCCAGACCCTCTCACGGTGGCTCAGGCGAGGAGGCTCCGGCTCCTCATAAGGGTCGGTCTCAATGTCCATGCAGGAATCCGCTGGATCGGTGTAAGCAGAATCACGACTGCCCGGCATCTCTGAATCAAAGGTGTCCTGCCGGGAAAGCCCTCGGGCAGCCAAGTGAGAGGGAGGCGGCACTGAACGGATCTGGCCGTGCCCCACTGGCTGCCCTGCGTAGCTGTGGAGGCCAGGATGCTCAGGGTCATGAGGCTCCTCCCCATGCACCAAGTAGGGTCCCTGATTGAAAGAGGCAGGCACCGCACACCATGCAAGCGAACAGGAGAGAGAGACAAGACAAGTGTTAGTGCAGCCACCACACAGCAATATCCCCAATGGGTTAGGAGGAGGCGTTCTTGGACTCTGCTCTTGCGAATCACTCAGGTTTAAGAAAGCAATCAGCCTTTTTTCCCTCCCTCTTCCCAAACCAAGACAGCCCATTTTTCTGGGCAGCATTTCTTCTTCTTTGTCCCCAGCAGATGGACAGGAAAAGCCCCATGCATCTTAACGTCAAAGTAACTTGCAAAGAAATAAAGAAGATGCACAACTGAGGAACCAAGAAATGGGGTGTGGGGGGGGGAGACTTGGAACAGTGGGGCAGCTGGTTGATTTTAAACTCCAGACTTAATGGTCTAAAGTATATGTTTAGGCAATAATGTGCATTACTTCATTTACTTTAACAGGAAACAAACCATCCCATG